CCCCGATTCTCTTTCTCATCGGGCCCGGGGCGGCCGTGCTCTCCGTCTCTGCTTCCTCCGCGCGCTGGCGCTGGCGCTTCGCGGATGCTTCCGCCTCCTGTCTGTGCCATTTCCTCATGAACCATGCCGCCCCGTCCTCGATCTTGTCGTACCACGCCTCCTGGTCCTTGGCGCTCTCTTTCCATCTCCCCCCCTCCTTCTCCTCTTTCATGCCAAACGCCAGTAGTGTCGTGTACTGTAAGATGTAACCTTCACAGGGGACACGGCGCAGTGTCTATTGACAGCTTGCTGGTTTTAGGAATTTAAGGAGAAATAAATAATATTGATGTAAAATCACTCGGTTTTCAAACCTATAGATCTTCTACGTGATGTATGCCGGGTACATACCACAGCTGTAGCGCTCCCGCTCTCAAATGAAACTGCAGCAGTTTCACCTCTGCCTTTGACAACGGGGCTGCTTCACGGTGTACCACCGGAAAACAATAAAGACTTCAATACATCCCTTTCGACTGAGGTTACATCTCGAACGGGTGGTCTTTTTACGAGGTCCGCTTGTTGTTCTTAGATGTTTTCTTCACATTAAATTCGTATCAGTTGCTAATCCCAAAATCTAGCAAAGACTCGGTCCGTGGTCACAACAATGCCAGAGCCGTCAGAAGATCTAAAGAACACACACTATTAGCAAGAAAAGGGTACACAAGCCCGAGGAGGTACACCTGCAATCCCTGCAGCACGTTTGCGTGCTCACAACTGAACTACACGCCCACAAACTACAGTTCGACTTGTACAGCAGCAGCATCACCCCCCTTGTCCCGCATTTAACCGAAATGAATGTCGACTACAGCGTACTGCTGTCTGAAGTGCTGTCTGTACAATAATAATACCATGGTGCATGGTACACAAGCTCGGGGCATGCAGCTGCTGTCTGAAGTGCTGTCAGAATAGTCCGTGGACATACAATGAAGAACACCCAACCAAAGCCATCNCAGAGCCGTCAGAAGATCTAAAGAACACACACTATTAGCAAGAAAAGGGTACACAAGCCCGAGGAGGTACACCTGCAATCCCTGCAGCACGTTTGCGTGCTCACAACTGAACTACACGCCCACAAACTACAGTTCGACTTGTACAGCAGCAGCATCACCCCCCTTGTCCCGCATTTAACCGAAATGAATGTCGACTACAGCGTACTGCTGTCTGAAGTGCTGTCTGTACAATAATAATACCATGGTGCATGGTACACAAGCTCGGGGCATGCAGCTGCTGTCTGAAGTGCTGTCAGAATAGTCCGTGGACATACAATGAAGAACACCCAACCAAAGCCATCATTGCAATTCAATCACCTGAATCTATCCAGATCATCCGTGTTAGGCACAGCAGTGTATACATCGACACTGACTTAGGAATCGCTCCACGTTGAAGGGGGCTTCCACGATGCAGGTACACTTTTAAGGCACCCGGGTTATCCGCGCCATCTCTGCCACGTCTCTTTACAAAACCAGTGACGTCATCATACACTCCCAACACCTTTTTTTTTGTCTTCACTTCAAATCAGCGCTCACAGCACCATTTTATTTAGTGCCGTTTACTCCAACCCGTGGTCACACAGAAGAGCCCCTCTCTACCCTCCCCTCCTGCGATACTGTGCCTTCGATTTTTAATGCGAGAAGAGTTCAGCACTCTCTTCCCTCTGTGTACACACGAACTAGCACTATCCACTTGGCCAGGAGCGGAAGCGAGAGAAAACTCACTTTGCAAGGAAAGGTCGCTTACGCCGGGGTTTGAACCCCTGACGTGACCTCTAAAAGGTTCCGACATTACTAACCAGACCACCGGGGCGACCGGCATGTCACCTATATTCAGGAAAAAAACGGAAACTAATTGACAGCTCAAGTTTGTCCGTGCGCCACGGTTCGATGCCGTCCGCATGCTCGGGTTCCGTACCTCCGGTGCCGCTGCTCCGGTGCCGCTGCTCCGGTGCCGCTGCTCCGGTGCCGCATCTCCGGTGCCGCTGTGGCCAGTCCTAGCACGACCAAACTCGACCCGCTCCGCTTTGTACACGTTCTCGTTGCTATCCTTCCCAGTCGGTTCCTCGCTTTCTCCCTCGTTGCACTTAGGGTTCTTGGTCTGAAAATCCTCGCGCGGAAGCATCAACCAGCCCAATCAGCTCGTCACCACCTGTCCCCTCCTCCTTTGATGGCAAAACCAGGTTACTGAGACAGTACAGCTCCCTCCAGCAAACCTAGGACCGTGTACATAGTGCCCGTCCGCCTTTCTGGTGGCGTCTGCCTCCGCGCACAAACATGAGATGGGCTTTCCTGCCTACACCGATGGCCTGGAGGCCCGCGCACCTGCACCTTTGTACCTGACGCACCAGTGTCGACCAAACTTCACCACTACGCACGCCTCGCAGCGGGTGCGCTGCAGCAAGAAGGTATCAGTCCCTTGAGGGTGAGTCTAGCCCTGCTCGCTAGAAAGACCCCCCCCT